ATTTTCAGTATTGTATTAAGTATTAGTTCCTAATGAGTCAATTTCTATCAACGGATAAATTGGAATATTACCTTGTAGTTTAAATTTTGTAAAAGATATTATTCAACCGTCATCCATCTATGCTACTGCACGTACCTTGGTAATAACCTCTTGGTCGTATATCTCGTAACAGATTAGTTTACAACGTAGCACAGTATGTAGTTAGAAGCCTAGTCATTGCCTATGGTGGAATTTTATAACGTCCTGTATCTATAATTGCATCGATTTATATATAGATCTACGTAGAGTATTTCAAGACGCTTCGTTAAAAGACAGGATCAGACAGGTTACTACGTCCATTGTGGCACCGAGGTGTAGCAACTGATCAAAACAAGACTGAGGAGACTCGAAAGCGACGCTTAAAAAAAGTGAATGCGTTGCGAAAATTGGATGCCAAAATTATTATTAATAATTAATAGAATAAAAATTATTATTACTCGTCATATTTATTTTCCTTCTAATTTACCCTCGCAATTTCGTTCGATCTCTTGAATCCGGCAGTAGCCTCCATGTTTCCGAGTATAATGACAGCGGACCGTTCGATTTCGAATGCGAACGTTACTGGTCGACCTGCACAAATTTAGGCCTTGAGTCAGAGAGTACAATTCGGCGGATGGTCATCTCAAATATAAATATCACACGATGTGTAACTGGCTGTGTGGCTTCGAGAGCGTCAGCAATAGCGCGAGATTACGCAAGGTATAAACAATGAGACATATCCAGGCCGGTTGTTACGAGGGCACGTGGTACCCGTTTGAGATTGTATTTTTCCTTACTTTTCTCTCTTCTAGGCTTTTTATTCCTTTTACTTTTTTTATCTTCTACTTCCCTTCCACGTCAATGTGTATAAAGCATTAGAGCGAAGGTTCGACGCTCCTTGTTTTCTGTAATATGGCGTGAATTCCTCACGAAACGTTCACCCAGCGCCGATTGCGGTTATTTTCTCACATTATTGCTCTCGCGAAGTAACGATTAGTCTGCCACGACATTAGTACCTCCGTATCCTCTGTATCCAACGTAGACTCTGTAGACTTGATATATACGCAAAAGTACCAGCCTCTGGACTCACGGGGGAATTCGTGTGAACGAAAGGGCAAATGAAGGAGAGAAAAGAAGACGACGGCAAGAGAAAGAGATGAAATAGAGGCACGAGACGCCGAGGGAGTTCTTGGGGATTCACACAATGCTATCTATTTACTGACCAGACTCTTTTATTTAGGAAGCCATTTCTTATTTCGCACTCCTTAAACGCCTGGCTAACCCCGATAACGAGACACGTCGCGAATGGTTAGCACAATCGTATGGAACTCAAGACAGTGAAAGAAGGATATAACGAGACTGTGAAGAACTAACCTAAATTCTCGTGAAAACTCATCAAACATTTCTCAGACTTACTTTGAGCCTTCTTCAGGTTCTCATGCGTATTCCCCCACCGAATCCTCTTGAAAGCGATTAAAAAGAATTCCTTTGTTCACCACTCGTACAGCGACGTCAGTTACAGACCGCAGTCTCTGGGCCACAACGGATATTTCGCGTTCCTGTCTATATACGTAACAGCACTTAACCGTAAGTAGCCAAGATGAAATGTCCCTCGCAGGAAAATTTGAGTAGAAGTTGCACTTTTCAGCCGCTAGAGCGCGCAGGGCGAGACGGAGGACGCCGCGAAGTAAACTTCAAGGCGGATTTAATTATTTCAAAAGAAGACAGCGAAGGAGAAAAAAGAACCACAGAGGAAGTAGGTATCGATGAAAACGAAGTATTCAGCGTGGGAGCCAAGGAACCATTTCGTCGTTCCAATGATTGGAGGTTAGAATGGCGTAGCGCAAGGCCTGTTTTTTTATTTTCACGTTTCAATACTGACAACAAGGATACTCGAAGTAGCCTATTTGTATTCCGACGTGGCACCAACGCCTGGGGTGTATCTTTTGTGGGATCCCGGCTACCGAGAGACGTTGTAAATTTACTATAAAGAGTTTGACGATGTTAAAGAATGACGAGGAATGCTGACTGTCAAAAGAGCATCGACTGACTATGTACATATTATAGGTGTCATCGGGTACTAACTGTTGCTTCGGAGAGTCTAGAACGACGGAGTGGGCTCCGGTAGTAGGCCGCTAAAGGTTACGTTAAGGTTAGGCCACGAGTAAGCGGAAAATGCAGGTCGCGTAGACGATGTTAACCGTCGACTTCGCAGACAGATGGGTCAGGTCGCATTCGACGAAGTAAACGGTACCGTAGAAAATCGAAGGCCAGTTTTCTATCTCTCCGTACCTTCTACTCCTCTACTTCTCCTTCTCCCTCAGAGTAAACGGCATACATAAGACGTACAATCCGGATTTACCTTGAGCACTGAGGACCCTGGATTTATCTTCAAGGTACATCCACAAGAAAAGATCATCCCCTTTGGGTGACAGTTAAATTCTATAGTAGGCAACTGTCCATTGTTAATAAATTGTAAGTACTGTCATAATTGCTCGGTCAATGAAAATTCAGAAGCATTAGCAACCCGGACATTTAAAAAACTTCATCACCGTTAGGTAGGATCTTGGCAAATTACATTTTTCATGATTTTACGTAATTATGCGATTTCTCATTGGACGATATTAATTTTTTTTTTTTTTTTTTTTTTTTTTTTTTTAAAAAAATTTTTTTTTTTTTTTCAATGAAAATTCAGAAGCATTAGCAACCCGGACATTTAAAAAACTTCATCACCGTTAGGTAGGATCTTGGCAAATTACATTTTTCATGATTTTACGTAATTATGCGATTTCTCATTGGACGATATTAATTTTTTTTTTTTTTACTTAATCAGAACAATTTTCTTCTTTTCTTAACCCGCCATCACACGCATGGTGGTCAAGTCAGTCTAGCTCGATGCTTTTTTAATGGGGAATAATATCGCACGAGGATTCACGGGTTAACGCATTTTTATGTTTCACGTGCAGATACAAATTTAATACGATTTTACGTTATAAATTGGTTGATCATTAATAAAGTGCTTTTTGATTTTACAAATTACACGAAAGGCGACCTTCCAGCACACGGGGGAGACGAGGCGACGAAATTATCACAAGGACCAATTGATGGACCGCATTGATTAAAAGAAAATTTATTCAATCGAATCAATGAGAAAAAATATATAATTCTAAAAAACAAGCAACGTCCTTCGGCGACTTGTAAAAGCGACACCCCGCAGTTACAATTAGCTGCGGGAGCAATTAAATGTCGAGCAATCATTCCATCTGTATAATGGTATAGTTGTGCATTGAGAACTTAGCTCACAGGATACAGCCGCTTATCAGGCTATCAGTGTGACGTCACACCGGCAGCTATTAAAGCTACCACGGTGCCTGGACAGCCTCGACGGCCACGTTGCATCGTGTACACGATAAGTTAAAAAAAAAGGGAGAAAAAAATAAATATTACGGCTGAAACGAAGCCATTGGTAAACAAAGTATCTGATATCCGGTTTCTATGCACCCAACGTATGTACGTATACATCAGTACGGTAGAGGTAGGGTAAAAAAAAGTAACTATATTTTCCCGCAAATTTTGTCTTCGAATCCATTCCCATATATCAATGAGATTCCGTTTTTGGCTGCAGGTAAAAAATGCCGATAGATCGCAGCATCCACCAGAGGATCCTGACCGACATAAACGTATGTTTGGTAAAACGATCCGCACCGTACTTATGAATGCTGCCATATTTCCCTTATAGTCGGCAATCTGGTATTACCCTGCTAGACGCTGAATGCTAAAATGACGGCAGGAAATGGAATGAATGGAGAATTAAAAAAGAAAGAAAGGAATGCCCGACCACGAATAGGAATTTCTGCCGATACGACTGAAGAATTGACTTCTATAAGATTGCGATAAGTTGTTTTTCTCATCCTTTCACCTGAACTCGAGACGAAGTCTCTTGCCTCGCCTCGAAAGAATTTCTGGTGCGTTGCACCTCGGCAAACACTGCTGGCAATTAAGACGTGATTCTTAAGAGAGTCCTGCAGAATTTATCACTACCACGGAAACAACGATTAAGAAAAAAAGCAAGAACAACGGAAGATTTACGATTCGATATTTGGTTAGGATCATTATTTGCTGGAAGAAAAAATCAAATGCACCAAGTGCATGTATTCGTGTGCTGTCGGAGGAATATTTCAAAGAATTCCATGAATGCATCGAACGTTACGAATGACAGTTTGGTTATCGTGCGGTATTTCCTTGGACCGGGTAACGATTATTCACTCGTACGAAGCTGATTGTGAGAATTCAACGAATAATAATTACTTCGCGCCGAAAGAAATGTCCGTTGAGATTTAATTATTCTTTGCCACGGCGGATGGGCAGGTCATTGCATTTTCGGTGAAAGCGTCAACTGTACAGGATCCTTATCTTCTTAATCCTTTTTTTTGTCTACGAACTAAATTATACGTTTCTGGCTGTACAGACGTGCGCGTCTTCGTCGTCTTGTTCGTATTCCCCTTTCCTCTGTACCGTATGACATTTTCTTATTTATCTCTTTGACGTTACACGGCATAGCAATGTGTCTCGCGACTGTGTCAACCAAAAGAATTAAGCGATCTTTACAGGGTGTTGCAATTATTCAGAAACACTGTTGTTCGTTACCGAAAGTATGTATATAACACGACAGTTGGTACGAAGCGCGCGAAAGCGCTATCACTTTTGAAAGTTTATCACTGAAACGGAAGGGCAACGATTATCGTAGACACAGCCGCTTCCTGATGGAGAAAGAAAGATGCGTTATCACTGGTTAATTTAGTTCCGTGATAAAAAGAGTGAGCGAGGAACGTCCAATTAAAAAAAAATTCCTCAACCACGCATCTCTATGGTAACAAGGCACGAACGATTATAAACATTTCCCACGTGTACTTGACACCCCGCAGCTTGTAGACACACTGACTCGAGCTACTGTTTTAGAGTTATTATATTTCATTACTTACCAAGAGACTCGTTCTGGGCCCACGCGTAATCCACAAGACAGGGTAAGAGCGCAACGCCGAGTCTCACCACTGTCGCTAGGTTACCCATTTTGCATCGACATTATTTATTAAGCGCAACGGCAAACGATCACGAGACTCCGCGACAGTTCATAACAGCGCGGTAAACCCTGCCGCAAGAGCCACGGGGCTTCCGTTACCACACCTGACGACGATCGGTGACATACTGAAAAAACAAATTGCCAGGACGACAGTCTCGCGGCAACGAAGCTTCGAGCGACGCTGGCGCGCTCTGCGTGACATGCGCGGAAGCTCTTACTTGAATGGCGGGCTATTTGTATTCGTAAAAGCATAAGAACTACACTAGTCAGATGCACGACCGTACGGGGACCATATAATTAGAGTCACTCTAGTACTAGAGGGACTCTACATATAATACCATAAAAGTCCACAAGTGGTACGCGTGTTGTAATAAATACAAAAACCCACGTGTTTGTTTTAGCTGGTTAAATACGAAGTCTGGTATTGTCTTTGTAATATGGATAAAATTATATTTTACTGATACAATATGACGCGAGACGCTACACTCCTCGTTATTCTTTTTGTATTTTCCTCCAGCTGGAATTACAGTCTGACGGACGTAATTTATTTTTCTTTCTTTTCGCACCTTCGATCGCTGTGGGCGCTATTGTTTGTACAGTGCTTCGCACGAGTTACAAGGCTCGTACGTAGATCGAGTGACATGACGCAAGAATCTCCGTGACAAATCTAAACATACTAATATGACGATTGATGAGAACGACCCACACGCGATCAAGTAGAATCCATTTTGAAAATATCATTGGGCGAGCTATTCAACATTTTTCACCGCGAGTAATCTGCGATTTATATCGTGTTTTATTATTCATCATATTTATATTACACAAAGATGTATACTTAATCGTATTGTTGAATCGACCGCGATACAATCCGCCGGGATCTTCTAGCATTCCACATAATTAAATAGAGAGTGAAACTGATAATCCTCCTTAACGATTATTAATATTAAACCAGGTCACAAAAAATACGTACACCTAAAGGGATCGATGATTCAGGGTTGGAGGGGGGGGACACGAGTGGGCAAGAGGGAGGATTTCAGGAGCGTACTATAGAATTGCTAAGAGAGCCCGCAAAGAGAAAGGAGAGGAGGGAAGAAAATTTTTCTTGTCAGAATTAATCGGGTGCAACAGACTTCAATAACTGGCTGGAGCTGATGGCGGGATGTGGGTGGGGAAGGGCGTAAAAATATCTAACAATTCGTAACGATACATAATTATCATTTTTTTTTCTTGTTCCTGTTAACGCCCTTCGTTTGGCCTCATCATTCTTTCACAATCCTTTCACGCAAGTCTCGTCATCCTTTTATACTTCTTTGTCCATCTCATTCTCTCAGAGTATCTCACGCACTCTCTCTCTCTCTCTCTCTCTCTCTCACGTACGCACACATACACACTTCGGATGGCCTCGACCACGGCGTTTCCATTTTGCTTATTTTACAGATTTATATTTTATACAAATTACTTAGGCATCGTGATAATTAGGTTCATGGATATAATTATCATTTTGGTGCCGCGTGTCAACGTTCTCTTCGAATTTTTTTCTCCTTTTTTTTCGCCTCGGGACCGGTTCGGACTAACCTAACCCAATTTTTATTATACAATTTCCAAACATACTTGTCACCTCTAGTCTATCTCGCGCCTTCCTGTCGCTTTCGTGAAAAGATCCGCGATGATCACAGAGCGTACGGGCCACACGTCTTCGATTCGATGTTTAAAAATACAAATAAAAACAAATCAAGATCAAAAAGTCATAATTAAAATAAAATTATGCGAATCTACCATTTTTTTTCGCTTTCTCCTTTCATCTACATAATTTATATTAAATTTTCATGACGCCCCGCACTCGGTGTCCATCCAAAAACGGAATCACGTTCCACTCGTACGCGTCGACTCTTACTAGCATCTCTTTTTTTTTTTTTTCGTTTTATATACGGCATATCTTTCAGACACATCTCGCGCACCTTCGCGCGCCAACTCAACCTCGGGTGTCAGTATTTCTTTTTTTTCTTTTCATCTTTTTTTTTTGTATCACAAGTATCAATTAACATTACGGTTACTCGCCTAAGATAAAATTTTGTTTCCCTTTCATACACGACCGTAGAATATAAGCGTTTTGTTTATATCTCAAAATTTCTTATCACCTTAACAAACCTAAACCGTTATTTTTGGCTGCTTCTTTTTCTTTCTCTCTCCATTTTCCGCCTCTCGCCTCTCCCTCATTTCGTCCCTTTCTCTTTTATTTACTTGTTTTCGCTACTATCTCGTATAAAGACTTCTCGGCCGGCGTCACCATCGCGAAGTGGCGCTTGTTCAAAATGATTCGAAAGCGAAAACAAAAGGAGTCAAGTGCTGTTAAAGAAAATATAAAATAAAACGTGAGAGGAAGAAAGATAATAACAAAAAGATCCAACAGCCACCTCGTAATGGCGACCGTCGATGTCCTTACGTTAAAACGTATATTATGCCACTAAATAAAATGCCGCATTTTTGTTTTCTCTTCTCTCCATCAGAGTCACTTTTTTACACAAGATTTGTTATTAGGTATAAGTATGTATGTACAAAGAATTCACTTTATCTTTGATAATTCCTCCGTCATTAATCTAATTGGGTACTATTTAAAAATGATTACCTCATTAATTATCGTACTGTGCTTGGGAAGAGGGGAGTCCAGGGAGGGAGGATCTGGCAAATGGGGCTGCTTAGGGTGAACGTCTAATGCTATGGTATATGTATAATTATATATATATGTGTGTATATATATATACTTTTTTCTTTTACCTACGCTATAGTAATATTATTTACATTACAATCTATAATAATATTATTTTTATACAGTTTTACCCCAAATAATCGTCTATTATATTTCTCGCCGATGCGCCAAGAGTATCGCGTTCCGCAGCCGTTTGTTACGTTTGTCACAGCAAAGTAAAAGAATTGAGAAATAATAATATATAAAAAGATAATTAGACAATAGTTTAAAGGACTTTTGACGTCCACTTACTCTCAAGTGTAATGTGATGACGATAATTCGCAATTAGGAAATAAACAATCGATAATAATTGTTACTCATGTAAAATCAATGATAATATTAATAATAGCTACTGCCTCGATAGGCGTAATGATATAGTAAATCGTAAGAATAAGTGGCGATTAATTCGATCGTTATATTACAAATAGATTTCCTTAACGTCTTTAGTCGCTGATTCGCGACGCCTGCCGGAGACAGCGAAAGATAAGTTTGCCAGTTTTGGTTTGGCTTTTAGTTATCAGTTTTCTTTCTCTTTTTTTTTTCCCACTTAAACGGAGTGAAAGAAACACGCATGATACGTACGAGAAAAAAAAATGAACGCAAGGAGAATGAGTCCTGAATATTTATATTATTTTTTCGACTGTGCTCAGTGTATAGATTAGATGCAGAATAAAAATTATGTAGTGATATGATCAAAAACTCTGTATGTGGAATTTACTTTCTTTTTGAGAAATAGCATGATTTTCGAAAATAAGAAATATATTTAAAAAAGAGGTGAATCAGTATAAATTTTCATTTAGAAATAATTGTCAGCTCAATCGTTCTCGTGATGACTGAACGAATCTCTCTTTCTTTCTCTGTAAATTTCATTTACAAACAAAAACAGACTGTAAAAAAAGTGAATGAAAGCAAAAGAAATATTTTGGTATTATTATGGAAAAAAAAAGTAATAATTTTACCGCAAGATTCTTATGAAAACTGACGTAATTGTATATACTGGAAATTGTTCGGTATTTTCCATCAAAATAATGTATACGTGTAAATTGTATATAGAGCGAGACCGCGTCGCTACGCCTGTAGATAAAATTTAATTACGAAAACGACAAAAAAACCCATGACATACGATTCCGTACAAGTTTTTACTTATCAATCGCAAAGACGTAATAACAGTTTCAGTATTTACAGGATATGACGAAATCGTTAAGGAATCGCGGCACGAGAATGAATTTTGCGATAAACTGTTTTATCGATCGACAAATTATTGCCCAATAAATATTTGAAAAGCAACGAAACAAGAATAAGAAATGATAATGCTCGCAGGCGAATCGACATAACGCATCTTAATGTGGCTGGCTCTGTCGTGTATTAACGAACAAAGTGTGTTCTCGTTTCTGTTTTCCTTTTCTTTCTCGTTAAATTACTTTTTCCCTTTTATCTTCGTTTTTATTCTCTCGCCGCTCCTCTTGCGCCAATTCAGGCTCCCGTCGCTGTCCCAGGCGTGACATAGGCAGTACGTCGTTCGCGGAAACAAATCCTCATGGGAATTTCCTTAAGCTCCTGTGTACAAGTTGTCGACAAACAAAACGGCACGACGCCGGATGCATAATATCAGAAAATAATTTCACCGGATACATCAGCGAGAGAGACTATGGATTTTCAGCGGTACAATATTTGTTTCAATTTTCGTATTTCTCGATCGCGTCCTTTTTTCACCCATGCGATTAATGCAGTCGAGAAGTTCGACAAAAAAGTTACAGGCTTCAAATAAATTGAATTCGTGTTCATTGGTATCGTCAAGTCGAAAGGCCACTAGTCAAGATCGGGTACTGAGAAAATTGTGCAAAAAAAAGAGGAATTAAACCGATGTCGATTTTCATCCTGGACGCTTTTCATGTCTCAAAGCAAAAGAGTACCAGATACGATTACAAAGAAAATTATTAAATGACCGCCAATCATGCTCATTTTTAAACATCTTGTACATAGGAACAAAAATTCATCTCCTCCATTAAGAGACAGACACATATCGCTCATACGTAGACCATCGCGTGTTGCGCGTCAATCTTTTTTTTTTCTTGTAGAACATTCGACAATCATTCCCCGTGTTTTATCGCTAAATTTTCATATGCTATGAAACATTCTTATCGACCATCGTTAGTCGTGCGCGATAAAACGTAACGGTGTCACGCTGTTCATTAGCACTCGTTCAAAAGAGTATCAATAATATGATAACCATGTTGGATGAAGAAAAAAAAAAATAAAAGAATCCCTCATCGAATATTTTCCACGGCGAAATCCACAGTTTCATGGAAACAAGAGTTTCTACGATAGACAAAAAGTAAAAGTGACACCATTACGTTCCATCGCGAATCGTAATGGACCTTAACCACTAGAAAGGCGATCTTCAGTCATAAACATTTTTTTGTTCCTAGTCTCTTACAGCTCGTCTCTTGACCGTCGCTCGGTGGCACCTAATTAAAGCCTGACCAGCATCATCTACAGGATGCGGTTTATTCAGCTCGTCCATGTCCACAGACTCACAGATGTTTCACGTAACTCGATGAAGGTTGCACTTGGGTATGTACTGATTCGTGTCCAAGAGCCAACCCCTGGTAAGGGCGCAGGGATAATGCGTAACGGCCTTGCAGCCGCGCTTCACACAGCCAATATTCGCCCCCGTTAAACCGCAGGCACCGCAGACAGACTTGGCTGCATCCCAGACAGCTTCCTGGAGACCCGTTACTCTTCCACCTGTGATAATTCATAATTTTATGATCGAACTCATTAAGACTCTTATTACAATATCTAGTAGAAGAAGGCTGAAATGTTTTTCATTTTAGTATCTAGGCAAGGAGTACTTCGATGATCATTTCTTAGATTTGAGGTTATGTTGTTGGACGGAATGAATTTTATGAAGGTTTTATTATGGAAGAACGTCGAACTGACCTGCCATATAGACACCAGCTGCCCATACCGCACACTGTTCATGTAACCAGACTTCCCAACGTTGTTCCTCACCCGGGAGTAACGTCATCCCCGTGAATAATACAGCATTGATATTACTCTCGATGGAGTTCCTCTTCTTCTTGCCCATTTTCGCTGAGAATTGATCAGCCAGACCTGCGTACCTGATACTCCTCTTGTTCTTCCCACCTTTCTTCTGCTCTGTCGAGATCTCCTGCTCGTCCGCTGAAAGGATGCCATCCTCCAGACGTTCCTTCCCTATCAGGTACGGGCCAAAGAGATCGCTCAGCACACCGGCTGGAACCTGAAAGTAAACAAATGAAAAAATCAGACCATTGTATATTTTTATTACAGAGAACTGACTGGGTCAATGAATAATACGCACTGTATATGTTCCTGGGGCTATATGTGGTCCGGCGAGGTTCGGGTGGGGTCTGGACGGATCTCCAGGTACAACACAATGAGGACCTTGTTTACAAAATACACAAACCCACGTGGAATCCGTAGTATGTGCATCGTATCGCGAAGACAATGTGGAACTGAAGAGACCCGCTCTACTCACTTTACCTGATAAATATATAAAACAGAGGTTAGAAAGGAGATCTGAGTGAGTAAACAAGAGATTGCAGTTATAATAAAGTTAATATAAATATACAGACCTCTGTAATCGAGATCATTTTGATGACTGAGTCTCTTACTGCGTCCTGCGTTACCATTTCCTATGCTTTTCCTTTTCTCTTTATTTTTCTCCTCCTCGTCTTCCCTGGGTGCGTTCACCACTTGAACGCTCAGAGGACTATCCCTAGGACCCTCCACGTGAACCACCGGACCTCTAGATCTTATAGAACTGGCATTCGATCCCGAATCGTACGCTATTTCCCGGAGACCATCAATCTTTGCGTTCTTTTTTGTCTTTTTCGACACCTCTTGTTTCCTCGCCGCCTTAGAGGCACGTCTCTTCTTTATATCCTTTTGTGGCGTCTCACCGCCACCGGATGTACCAAATATATTTTCAGAGGACCTTGATATTTTTCTTTTGCCGCCACGACCTTTGGCCTTCTTACCTTTTTTGGGCGACGGTTTACTGTCGACTGTCGAGGATACGTCAGTAGGATTACATGCTTCCGTTTCTGTCATCAGGACAACACTGTTATTCTCTGAATTCTCAACTTTTAATACAGTCTCGTCTTTGACATCGGTTGTCACGACCTCCTGCTTTTCTTCTTCCTTCTTAAGATCCACATCCGTCTCCACGATACCGGCAAACATTTTCTCTAATTCGGATTCCACCTCGTTAAAAGGATTTGCATTGTTTACACCCTTAGGACTAGTGACCTTTGAGAATTCCGTCGCGTCGTCACTGGATTTTCTTCTTGCTCTTTGATTGGTAGGTGTAAGAATTGTAGCTGGTCCTTCGCTACTTCTTCGCCTCCTGATTGGCTGATTCTCCTCCGCTCTATCTTCTGTACTCTCCTCGGTCCTCTCTTCTGTTCTTTCTCCTGTTCTCTCTTCTGTCCTTTGTTCTATTCTTTCTTCTATTATCTTTTCTACTCTCTCTATACTCTCCTCAGGCTTTACCGGAATTGATACAGGCACAACGGGTTCACTAGGTGCTGGAGGTTCACACACCCTCGGCTCCGTAGGTTCCGTAGGCTCCAATTCCATGTCTTCTACTTCAGTTTTCGAATCTTTACTAAGTCTCACGGGTTTTTCTAGCTTTCGTTTTCTCCGCTGCTTCGTATTGTCGTTTGAGTCGTCGTTACTGAAGGCTGGCGAGACGACCTCATCCTCCCTGTTAGGTGACTTCGATTTTTGCCGTTCCGGCGACATACTCTTTACACTGCACGTGTCCTTCTCCTCCAACGGCATCACGATCACCGATCCGATATTCTCAGTAACGCCTAATTTTTTATTACCGCCCTCAAGTTTTTCCAATAACGAATCGACGCCCTTCTTGCTACCTCGTTTTGGAAGGTTCTTAGGAGACCTCACACTGGTCTCGTCTATTTTTCTCTCCTTCTCAGAGGAGGGTTCTTGCCTTGGACTGTCCGTCACGTCCTTGTCCGTCTTGGAAGTCAGGTTGACGATAACCGGCAACACATTCCTTGGCACTTGCGCGATAACACTCAATGAGTCCTTTATCTTCGTTACTTCCGGTTCCTTCTTCTCTGTCACTACCCTCTCGATCGTCACACTCGGTGGAAGATTAATAACCTTCTGGGCAAAGCTATCAACGCTAATCTCCTTGATCTTGTCGTGCAGATTCGCCACGCCCTGCAGATTGCTCTCAAAATTCTTCACGGTTATCTTAGGGGTAATTATCTCCTTCGTTGATAAGGAAACTGGTTCGCTCACGGAATTCGGCGTAGGTACGGACGAGCTGATACCGCTGTCCGATGACGTCTCCCCGTTAAGCGGTATCGGAGGTGATATAATGTTACCATTTCGACTACCCTTGTCTACACTACGTGCTGTTAAACTAATAGGTGTATCCTGAGGTATTCTCGAGTAATTCTCAGCCATCTCCGATGTTGCCGAGAGGTCTAGGGTACTCTGGGAACCCGGGGAATTCCTGTACTGGCTCTGGTTCTGACGATTGTCCACCAGCATTTGTAAACTGAAGAGGGGGTTGCCTGGTGCGTTGGCAGGGGTTACTGTTTTCGACGGTATCGTCGGCGTGTGCCACGTTGGTGGGGCTTGAGTATGCGCTAACTGTGGTGTCAGTTGAGAGGTTAGGTGGGACGCCCGGGCCATTGAGGGATGAGTATAAAAACCAGCTGGATTGAGAGCAGCACCGGACAGAGCCGTAGGATGAATATTTAACCCTGAAACTTAATTAATAAATCATTAGGGTTAATCAAGTATAAACATAAATAAGAACTTTCTTTGATATCTATAGAAGTACCTTGTCCTTGTGTCATTGTGAGGTGGTTCCAAACTGTTTGCGGAGGAGGAGTACCAACCGGCGGTCGGCTATGTCCAGGATATTGTCCGGCCATATCGAAATCCTCCCAGGAGTTACGAGGTAGCTTGCACACCTTTATTGCCGATGAATCGTCGATTCTATTCACTTCCTCGTCCGCGAACTTCTCCGTCTTGATACCGGCGCCACGATCGACATTCAAACGCGAGCTTTCGGCACTTCCACGTGACGACTTCTGCTGTCTATGAGTCAAGGTTGGATCGGCCAAATCGGAATGCTTGAGCAATCCGCAGGCCAACTCGCCGTACTTTGTGTAACAATAATTCTCTAGATTTGTCGAATGTTCACGCGGCGTTTCAGTGCAAGAGTTCTCCGCCGAGCCCTTCCTCTCTTTCGTACCTTCGTCGGCGTGCGCCAAATTCGTATCGTTTTGTAACAAGCTTCGGCTATTACGGCGATCCGCGTGGCCGTGCTTGCTTTCATGGGAATGTGACAACAACAATTTAGATTTTCTGGCGCACTCGATGTCAGGATGACCCTCTAAGAAATTGTGGGAGCTCGCCTTTCTGTCTGTATGCTTGTTCGTGCTTTTCGACTGGGAGACAGCTTGAGAATCCTGCCAGGTCGAACCGAACTCTGGGTATGAATTTAGGCTTTGATGTTCCCTTACTTCAGGCTGCGTGTCCAGACTTTGAGGACGATCCTGCCAGGACCAAGTTCCAGGTAGGCCTAGAGCACCAAGTCCCAACAGACCCAGATCGGGCGACAGGAAACCTGCTCGAAGGTTATACGCCGTTTGTACGGCTTTGAGGATGTTACTCGCGTGGATGGTGTTAATGTCACCTTCCTGCTCACTGTTTATACTCTTGATATGCGACTCGTACGCTTTCAATATATCTTCTGGTGCTACCAAGGATTGTTGATAGTCCCGCTGCACGTAATTCGTTGGTGGCGCCCATTGTGGCGCATTTCCCAGAATTGGCAACCCTGAAATGAAAACATGAAATGTTCATTATCCTTAATGAAACATTCACTATCTAACATATCATTACATCAAAACATTGGGTGCCCATGAGGATAAGAATTATTTTTCCCACTACGACATTGCCAGTCATCGAACAAGGTAAGGAAAATATAGAAGTATCTAATGCACTATAAAACTTGTGTGACACCTAGTACGAGTAAGAATAAAAAGAAACAGAAACAACAATAACTGCAATGACAAAAAGAAAGATATGTACCATTGCTGGGAGCAGCAGAGGATCTATCGGATGTCACACCATGCTGAAGTCCTTCAATTCTTGGTTGCCGTTCCTTAATATGCTGTGTATCCTGATAAAACCGTCGATCGTACGGCAGTCGATCGAGGCTTCCCAATGTAGTATCTTCCACTTCGGCTGTATGTATATTCGTGCTCTTGGTTTCTGCAAGCAAATATTAAAACCATGAAACACCTCCATCGAAAGCTGTATCAGTGCTCAGTGGGACAAGGGGTCTTATGATCAAAACGAAGTTTACCAGCCATCACCTGATACCGAGTCTCAATATAGAAACAACAACTCGCTTCGCACAGGCCCCATTCCAAAATCTGGGCCACTGCTTCATACCAAATGGTATACTCGTTAAGGGCTCACGTTACGCGTATACACCATTACTGACCACAGCCATATTGCAAACGTTATTTTCACGTATAACAGAGCGATTTAGTAAATTGGAGTACCGAAAGCGTATATTCCCGTGCAAAACCGTGTGATCGGCCGTGCCACGACATTACCCTATAATATCCAAACTAATTATCCATTAATTAAGAACACAGCAGTACAACTGAATTTATCCAAGGCAATAATCAGCCTCTGACAGAAGTTCAATTATACGAGGATAACACGAGGCAAGGATAAGAATCCGATTCAGGATTCATATAAAACGATAGAACGACACAAGCACTGATATTCTGCAAGAGCAAAATGGTAAACAAGAAAATCTCGTCGGGGTGTGGACATCGAGAATTACCACGCTGGCCCGCCTTCGCGACACCCTTCCGTCTATTCAAACAATCCCTAGTGCGCAGTCCGTCGTACGAGACGTTTTGAAATACTAAAAAGAAATAACATCCGCAAGGATATCACGACGCGTCGAATTTGATCGAAAAGATCTCAGGAAAGCGGAAGTGTGTAGGATCGCGGGCGTAGTATGAAGAATGCTAACGGTTTTGCAGTGCAGGACGTGTCCCGTATTTCCTCAGACTGCTGGAAGTAGCTCCAGGACGAGAATGAAAACGAATAAAAATATAAAAGCGTCACAATAGGGAGTCAGGAACGCGAACAGACTCGTAGGGATTATGAGGCAGGTAATCCCTTCCGGCGTTGGTGAATTCGCGCGAAAGAGAAGGAGAGTGAAAAGAAGACAGAGACAGAGAGAGAGAGAGAGAGTGTGAGAGTGGAGGAGACGGAGAAGGCCGAGGACGTTGGTTGGTAAGATATTCGCGAATTCCAACACGGTACACGCGTGAACACGATGACTAGTTGACGCAAAGGCACAAGTCCAGGGTGCACGAGCTTGAGAGTCCAAACGTGAAAATCTGACAATGCAGTAGTATACAGTACAAATGATGATAAATCCTCGAGCAGGACACAAACACACACACACACGACAGATAAATAATACGTCGGTGAGAACCTTCCCCGTAGTAAGAGTCCTCAGGATATTCAAAGGAACCGTAAAATGCTGTATTTTGATTAGCGCGAAAATACAGCGTGCACTCGCCCGGACCGGTGGACAGTCGACGTCTCTTCCTCGAGAATTTCCGAATGTCGAGAGGTAGACGTTCTACAGAAACTCGTGAAACTTGTACACGGGAAGTGTAACGTACGAGGGACTGTTACCGGCGACACGCACGCAAGGTGCACGACGTCGATTTGTAGCACACAGCAACACCCCGACGTACGACGGACATGGGTGCCTTTCTTTCGCGTAAATCGATGGGCACACTTGATTTCACTAGAATATCACGGAACGTAGATGGGTAAGAACGCGGCACGGGTGCACGCGGGACTCGCGCTCGTTTTCGCGGGCTTGTTCGGCGGGTACGCACCTTACGCACGAGGCCCGTGCGGGGTTGGGAAATTTACGATTTTCGGCCAAAAAATCGTCGGGGCATCAACCAAAGCAGGATTCAACAATGGTGGCCGCTAGCGAGCGAGCCGTGCGACGATGCTGCCACCTGACAGTGGCGGCGCCAAACGTACTACAATCTCTTTTCCCTTCAGTGTTCAGCCCTAGTAGTAGGCTCTGGAATCTTGAAGAAGATCCACGCGCTTTGCATCTGGATTCCTTGCTAGTAGTTTGCGTAACTTCGGAGTGTGAACGTCGTTTCGTATGCATGCCTCTCAGCTATAGGCACAAGCAAAACCGTTTCCGGGACTTTGTCGAGACAGTACTAAAAGCATTGAGCGACGGAAGAAGACACAAAGGCATTTCTATTCCAGAACCGATTAATTCTTCACCTTATGACACAATATCATTTTCTAAGACACCAGGGTTCTGATTTCTAATGACCAGCGATACTTGCGTTTCTCATAGCAAATTAAAACACTGTGTGTTCCGATATTTCACTTATCCACTATAAAAAGACATGTATACCAACTGTAATATGTAGTAAGAAAAACACAGCTACTCCAACCAACAAAGTATCTTTCAGCAAAACCACCTGGTCCTATTATACCTTTAGTAAATGTATCCTAGGGTCTTTTTCTCCCCACCATAATTCACTTCAGGTGACCTACGCAAACGTTGCACGTCCCATTTTTCTGCGTCGCAGCATATAAATGAAAACTCGTCAGTCTTTATCGATTAGAATTTTCATAACTGGACACTCCAATTCATCGTTAAACCGTGCATGCGTGCCAATGAATATTCTTTGAGAAATGGTGAAACAAATTTTTAAACAGCTGCTGCAATGAAACACGCACTTCTCGTACGTTCTCTACGTCGCTACAGCTAGAGCTATAGTGACGTCCATAAAAATAGAGAAACGCTCAAACTACTATTTACTAAGTATAATTGCAACCCCATTCACTGATCAATGCCCTTTTATAACGGCATTCCTATACTTCCAATATACAACGGCAACTGCTAAGCTTTGTCAAATTTTATTCTACTCACCGTAACACGTTGTTCCGCCAGTTACGATCCCTTGCATTTTTCCTTAACAGTTTCCTCTAGTCTAGGTTAAAGCTTACTTCACTGGTACACCTGGTGCATTGCTAGATACATACTTTGATGCAGTACTAGTCCCCGTTCTACTTTCATTACTCTGCAGTTCCAACGAGATACTATTTCTATCTTCAATCCCTATGTATGGTATGTATAGACGAAGATCCTGTAGATGTGACTGTCAATTCCACCAATGTTTATCTTCGCCACCCTTCGACCTGGTTTCTAGAAGCTTCGACGTACGACGTGTCAAGTTCTCCCAGCACGACTTTATGTTAGGTAATTATTCTTTACCACCACCAGCAGTGAGTGATTACTTCTATAATCCTAAACTTACGTTTTTTAATTACTTTACAGTGTTTACTTCAATGTCGTACACTCGAAGAGAACTGTTCACCTATTGCATTTAAAAGTGACCTCCGAAACTTAATATTCTGCCCTTGCGCAATTCAATAAACGGATGCTTGATAATGAATGAAATGATTCTTTTTTTACCATTTACTTGAGTTTTACGTGGAACACAAGGTAAACAAACATCCTTACGACGCAACCCGCCAAACGACACTAATCAACAAACTATAGTACACTGTGAATAGTCTATATTGCGTCACTGGCTTAAGGCTTATGTTTGGCCATAATAAGAGCAACATGGCTCTATGGCGTCGTCTGCTGGTCGGACATTATAGGGGGATGTAATATTCAGGAGTATCTGCACAAATGAGAGAAAACAATGATAAGTTAATGGAATATTAAGGGAAACGGATTGTGAACATTAGGTAATAAAGATATGATATAGCAAATGTAAACAAGTCTAAAGCTCTAAGAAGAATGGTGGAGCACTTGTTGAGATTTAGAGGCGTCGTGATCTGCGCAAATGAAGGCGTATTGGTCGTTTCTTGTTCCTGAGGTTTAGAGTGCCCTTTGCCTCCCTCCATCAGACGCACGACGTCATTCTGATTCAAAAGGAAAGTTCGTTAAAGTCAAGCGTCCCACGCAGTGGAGTCCTACGTAGGTTTACGTGTGATTATACACTTGAGAGTAAATAGAGCGTTTGAAAAGAATTGTGACTTTAAATGTAATTTTTCTTTCATTACTTTTGGCAGTGTAACAGGTGTACCTTTAACTCAGAGTATGAGCGACTCCAGTGAAAATCTTAAATACAAATGGACTCCCGAGAGTACTACTTTACTCGTATCTGTATGGACTGACAAACAGGTTCAGAAACAATTGGAATATACTACTAAGCCACAGTTGATATGGGAGAGTGTGGCTCGTTATATGAGGAAGAAGGGATATAATGTTTCCGGTAAACAATGTCGTTCGCGAATGAAGCAAGTTTTGGTGTGTTATCGAGAAGCCAAGAGGGTTGGTACCAGAGCGGGTGTCGAGCAATATTATGAATCCATTGACAAAGTTCTTAAGAATAAGCGTCTTGAGAATATTAATATTAATGGACTTGATACTGTGGGTATGTGTACTAGAAGCATCCATTTGGTTTTCTTTCTTTTTTTTTTTGATTCAGTTTATTAGTCTTATTCGTACTATAATTTTTCTTTCTTTTTAAAATCACAGCCTTCTACCTTCAACTTTTTCTTTACGTATATTGTTGCTTCTTTTTATAGACTCATCATGCTCAGCCAACATCAAGTCCCCACCAAAAGATGCTAAGACAAATAAGAATATCCAGATGAAACACAAATATAGGGATCCGCTTGATGTACCACTGAGAACTGAAGCACTGTCTCCTTCGTGGGAGATGCCACCAAGTATGGATCGTTATTAATAACTTTTTGCTTGTATGAAAAAATGATTTTATTGATTTTCTTATTCTTTTTTTTTAGATGATGAAGACTATCCTGATTCTCCAGAATCAAACGAAACTGTCTTGGCACGACCATACTGTGCCTTCTCTCCTATACGAGATGCTGCTACTAATACAGCGCGTCGAGCTACTCCCATGACTACAAAATTTCGACAAAATTCTATGCCTCTTGATGAATCACCAATTCGTGAGACATACAGACAGAATTCATTGCCCAATAATCGATTTAGTGAAGTGCCTTACCAGAACACTGTACAGAATGTGCAGAATCAAATAATACAAGAAAACATGCAGCAGAACCAAGCACTCTTAAGTCAGAATTTATTGCAGGCAGAAAATCACTTACTACGTCAAAATCTATTACAAATAAATCCTGCATTTCAACAAAACCTATTCCACACTGTCGAACAAGGTGTTTCATTGGATCAAGTTTCAAGACCAAGGAGTACAATGGTCAGGATGCACCAGAATCCACAAATAGAAAATATTTTACGAACACAAAACCAACTGCAGCAAAGCGCTCCAGTAGATAATCGTGCCATGCCTCAGGAACCTCGTAAAGCAGCGTTTCGGCAAAACTTTATGGAGAACTACAAACAATATCGAGAGACAATACCATCTCAACATTATGATCCTAATTTGAATCTCGCCACACCTATGTCGCCAAGCTATTCACCTGATTTAGCACCAAATCTAAATGATGCATTTTGCCAAACACCTAAGACCGATAAAGCTTATATGTTGAATGAAACTTTTGAACGACCATCGAGACTTGACCGTGCCTTTTTAGATTTGCCCAATGCAGATCTCACAACTTTAACAAACAATGCAACATTCAATGATGATACATTATCTATCGAGTTCTTGCAAGAGTCGCCGACGCCTTCTGAGAATAATAACAATCTAGAGAAGAAGAAAGACTTCGCCATGAATACAGATACTATGCCAGATGCTCCGTTTAGAAAGAAGAAGGCACAAAAATTAGAACAACTTATGATCAGTGCTTTGAGTTCCCAGAGTGACGTTGTGAACAAGGTAATGATAATTTTTCTGGTCCAAGATGAATATATTTTGATTGATTATTCAATTCCTCTAATAATATTATGAATACTTACGTTTCAGATCCTGGCTGCGCAGAATGACATGGTTTCGCGGTTCCTAGACCTGGACAGAGATCGTCAGAACAGATTAGAGAACCGTTTAGATCATCTTCTAGATGTGGTACATGCTTCTGTGATAAATAAGAGTCCCGAAAGGGACGTTGCTGACATTCCTCAGCTTCCGGCAGATCCGAGGATCACAAGCCTGGTTCCCCCACCGAAACCAGGCGTTGTACCGCCGAAATTGGACCTGGTACCGCCAAAACCTTGTCGTGTGCCTTGCACCATGGCTAATACTCGGATAGAAATGGTGAACCAAAAAGGCTTTGTGACAAGGCCCGGTGTTATATCACCAGGACCAGTAGCAGCGCCTAGAAGTCCTAATAGTCCTAAGAAACAGGGTACCATATGGTCTAAACTGGGACCAGTTTCCCAATCTCCATTTGTGAGGGCCCAACGTGAATTAGGACTCAGAGTTAATATGAATTTCGATGCAGCTCGTACACAATCCTCAGCCGAGAGACGTATCGCCCAGCAGGTATCAGTGGCAATGGATTCTAAGTCCCTTATCCGTGAGACAGCTACCTTCCTCCAAATGGAGAAGCAGCTAGAGGAAAGAATCGAGGGTGCTCGTCTTCAGGAGAAGATGAGCCAGGAATTGACAGCTCGCAGAAGACTATTTACGCAGCGTGAACCCACTACTGCTATGATCCTCACAGCAGCATTCCTAGAGGCTGAGCGTGAAAATTATTTAAATGATAACTACTCAACACACAATAACAATCGTTACACTAGGTCTCAGGCTGAACGTGGTTATCAGTACAATGGCGGCATAGCTCAACGTAGATCTGATGAGAATCTTTTGGCCGGACAAGGTGAGAGTTATGAACGTTTACGACAACTAAATACACAAGAGCAACAAATACTGGAAGAGCCATCAGATTCGTCGACTCCGGCAAGACCACGTCTACGGCCACCTTCTCCAGTTCCACCACCCAAAGTTCATCCACTGCGCGAACGTGACAGTAGTGATGAAGAGCCTAGACAAACCATTCAACAGCTGGCACGATTGGTTATGAACAGTGCACGCTGGAGAAATGCAGCCGGTACTCAGGATAATCGATTTGGTAATCGCCTAGCAGCAACTCGGGTACCTAGTGCTCCGTCAAACCTCAGAGGACCCAACCAGCAATTTAACGCTCAGTCAGAAGGTGGCAATCAGATCCATCCTGGTCAACCTACCGGAAATATACCACCTCCTCCGAAGCCACCATTACGTGACAGATATTCGTATCCTGCCGGCGATACAAAATTCTCGAAGATGCTACCTGGAGATGGTGGTAGGTTCTCCCTTTACGAGAAACCACCCGCAGCTAATAATCTAAATGCATTGCCCCCTATGGGTTTCATTTCGAGAAATCCAGGAGATCCCATTTTCAATAGCCTTAATTCTGAAGGAGACATACAGAAGAATGATTACTTAGGAAAAATGGGATTTGTTAAACATGCTTCTGGTTCAGCAGCTACATCGGAACAACCGGACATCCGGTTCCAAGACAATAGAAATTCCATGGACGACGATGAAGCTCTTCGTTGTCTTCAACAATTATACGCAGAGCGTATCTATTCGCGCAACAATGACGCACATCCCCCTTTTATGACGAATAACGGAAATGCCATTATGGCGCGCAATCGTGATTTAATCGAACAATACGTTCACGAATTATTACCTAATAAACAATTCAAAGATACGGATTCCGAAAACGATGAGGAGTTCTTGGATACTACTGGCAGTATGCCACCTACTTCGTCTTCCAGAAGAGGCTCCATTACTTCCACTGGTACTGCAGGATCGGCAGCTACTGGAAAATCCGGTAAATCCGACGCACCTCATTGCGTAATAAGTTAATCGAAGTCTTCCAGAATATAAGACGTCAATTTATCATTTATCTTTAACAGTTGACTCACCTTATCTATGCGAATTAAAAAGAAATAACATTTTTATTTAGTATCATGTTAAAGAATTTACAGTTAATACAATATATACGTATTATTGTGCTCAAGAAAAATCCTTTTTTTTCGGATACTTTCTTATCTCGTGCAATTACAATTATCGTATAATAACGATATCACGTGATAATTATTTAATACTATATCATATATCATACAATTTATATTACTTACCAGGGACATGGTATAACGGGAATCTGTGCCTTTTTTTGTTATTACTATATTTAGCCATAAAATAATTATAATTTTCTAGAGAGCGACTCAAATTAAGTGCCTTATAAATGCAATTTATCAATTGTACTACGTTGCAATGTACACGTCAATGTGCCAATACGAGAATAATAAAGCTTCCATATATCCTTATATCTCCGTAGATAACATGAGTTCTAAGAACCCGTCGACATTCGACAACGAATCCTGACAGAACTTTACTCATACAGTAGAAAATAAATAAAATACAATTTTGTTCTGTTAGAAATAAATGTCGAACAATAATTGAATCAAACAGAGTTACAAGACAATTGTACGAAGACTTTGAAGATAAAATTGTTCTCTAGATAAATAGGTTCTTCACAGCTATTAAAATTATACGCTTATGAAACAGTCTGTACATATTCACGGTTCCATAACGTGTCCAGTAAATAATGGCGTACGTGTCTGCCTGCCATTCTCATCAAGTGCAGTATATAAAATGGCGTAGAAGAAGGACCTGTCGACCTCAATCGTCGGACGCATAATCATGGCCCTTGTCATAGTAACAACAGCTGAAAATAAGAGACAAATATAACTCAACATAGCCACATTAACGGTCTCTCCGTAGGAGTTACAGAAGCTCTATTCTAAATACATGTAATTACGAGCTGCAAGTTTTCGACAAAAGCTTTATTTATACTTTGCTATTACGTATATGAATATTTTGTAGTATAAGGAAACAATGGATTTCATTATTAAAGGTTACAGAATATGTATATGGTATATATATGTATACATATACGGTTATATTATATTTATTGGTGCTCTCTTGGACAGGGGTAGTCGACTGAAAACAACCTATGACGAAAAGTGGGTGAAGTCACTATTCACGCACTTGATGGATCCAGGACATGGCCAGAGAAGATAGCGACACCTTTTTGTTTAATAAGAAAGAAATATCCTCGATTAACTTGAAATACAATTGGGGGTGGCGTTGGTGGGCTTGGGCCGCGGATCATGAAGACAACACCTAGAAAAAGAATCGGTCGTCAAGTAGTGAATTGAGTAAAGACGAAAGTTGCGTATCGGCGAGGTATAAGATAAGAATTGAAGATGGCGCTTTCTAGATCTCTGAAACTTTTATCGTTCCATCGTATACGCCTGAAAACTTCATTTACCTTTAATTTATAGACCTGACAACACCGGAGAAGAGAGAAAGTCGCGCAGGTTCAGAGGAACAGACGTCAATTCGTTTGATGATTTCGTAGTAGAATGGCCGGTCAATGCGGAGTATAGGTTTTTGAATTGGTTCTGTGTCAAGCGACGTAGTGCTTACAAGGATTCCTGATAATATATTATTGCAATGTAATCTTAGCTCTGTGGTTCGTATTGCCTAAGCCATTTTAGGTCAAAATGCAGCATTATCCCTGCCACCAAGCAGTTAATTTTTTTGTCATATATTATTTAATTCACACAACATTTAAGACAAAGGTTATACGATTATCACGTAAAGAACGTCATTGAAAACACCACATATTTCAAACAATGATGAAGATAAGTAGAAAATGAATGATTCAAAAGAATATTAAAGTGTAATGGAGGAAGCTGAAAATATTTGTTTTTTTACTATATATATTTCATACGTGCATTTTCTTTTATATAATTACTTCCCTTAATTTCATAATTAGCTAACAGAACAGACACTATGTTACTAGTGACACACATGTTAGTTGCAATGTCAGCCTTCCTTTATCTAACACCAGGGTTATATAAAATCCCAGGTAATTAATGTGTGCGTCACTCGTAATATTGTGTTTGCTCAGAATATCAATTTTTATAAATATATCTAATTCGTTGTATATGTAGATTATTTTCCTGTTATCGATACAGTGTATCGTGTTAAATAAAACAAAAACACGAATGATCTTTGAAAATGAATATCGTTCATAAAACTATTATCGTTTCTTGGTTTAACCCCTCAACACTTCAATTCTTCGCACCATTTCTAAAATAATTTCTATTTAATATTATCTATTTATTAATTTTTAACTATCACATGAGGTCACAGTGACCCCAACCTGACATATGATCCTTTTGGAAACTCTCCTGAAGCGTGACCGTCAAGGGTTGATTGGCATTGAATTTTGGTGATGAAAGAAATTGATTCTCTTACTTATACGTATAAACAATAATTCCCAGGAATAGACATTACCATAATAAAAAATGTTAAACTTCTTGTACCATACTTTCATATACAATATATTATATATTTTTTACGTATTAAAAGCGCTGTAACTATAATTATTTATAAGCATATAAAAAAGCGTTTTTTTTTCGTTAACTTTGTTCTTGCCTTTCCTGTATATAGTATCGATGAAAACTACATAGACTACGTTTACACAGCGCTCTTAAACTGGATTAGTTAATACTGATCTAAAGGAATAGACAAATCATACACATTTTTACTTTTAAGGAATATTTGGGATTGGTCAATTCCTTTAGATCAGTATTAACTAACCTGGTTTAAGACTGCCTGGAAACGTAGTCATAGTCGATCAATCGAACGAAGCGACACTGTTGATTTAATTCAGAGTAGCTATGTAGTTAACGTAACAGTTCTTTCTCACAGGTCTTTTACTTGGCCGTTGAAAAGAATCGTATTCAAAGTGCGACTGACAATGGCGTAATAGAATTATCGATCCACTTTAAGTAGTACCTCGGCTGATGGCAAGAACATGAGAAAAACCACCGTTCCTACTAGACACGAAAATTGAATGAGACATAACATCGAACAGTACAACAAAACCAGGGTAGGGTGAAACCAATATTATAGTCGAGAGTAAAACAAACGCTCGTAATATTTAATTGATCTGATCGATTAAAATGATACAGGGTGTTCCGAAATTACCTGACCAACGAGATATGGCGGTGTTCGGGAGACACCACTGATCACAAAAATGACCTTCCTTTTCTCCGGGAGGTCATAGTTTTTAAATAGGAGCAGGTCAAAGTTGACCAATCAGAGGGAGGCGTCAAGAGAAACGTAGGCACCTACGAACACTGAGTTTTCTTCCCTCGCTTTTGTTTCTCAGTGGCTTCGGCAGGATGACGTCAGCCGAAGACATACCTATTGGAAACAAGAAACAAGCCACCGAGAAACAAAAGCGAGGGAAGAAAACTCAGAGTTCGTAGGTGTCTACGTTTCTCTTGACGCCTCCCTCTGATTGGTCAACTTTGACCTGCTCCTATTTAAAAACTATGACCTCCCGGAGAAAAGGAAGGTCATTTTTGTGATCAGTGGTGTCTCCCGAACACCGCCATATCTCGTTGGTCAGGTAATTTCGGAACACCCTGTATCATTTTAATCGATCAGATCAATTAAATATTACGAGCGTTTGTTTTACTCTCGACTATAATATTGGTTTCAAGTGGTGCCTCCCGAACACCGCCATACCCCGTTGGTCAGGTAAATTTGGAACACCCTGTATACTGTGAAATATATCGTTAAGATCATATTAAAACGAATCTGGTTTATGTCGAAGGTGCATAAACATTGCTACTAAACAGAATAACATTTGAGGAACGACTAATGACTACGTTCACACGACGGTCTTAAACCTGTTTAGTTAATACTGATTTAAAGGAATTGATCAATCCCAAATATTTTTTACAAGTAAAAATGTTTATTATTTGTCTGTTTCTTTAGATCAGTATTAACTAACTTATTTCGACCGCCGTGTAAAAGGAGTAAATGATAGTGTAATAGAAAATTCCAAGAGAAAAAATAAAATCACTTGACCGGAAATGATCAGTGATTGGGTAGCATGATCGAAAATCGCATAGAGAAACAGCTGATCTAATTTCAACGTAGGTTTATAGAGGGCTGAATGGCGTGTGAGAATTCACAATCAGAGAATATAGAAAAAAATCGAAGGTTGATTTGCTCTAGAAAATGTTGAAGGGATGATTCGTAATGGTGCAAAGCCAAGAGTAATATTTGAAATTTGGAGTCGTATTAAAACAACATAGGATGTGTTCCAAAATTGACTGAAAGTAGAGTAAAAGTAATTACATGTCTCTCAGATGCGTATGGATGAATAAGGATACTGCCTTGGTCTTGCATACGACCATAGGGGAGGACGGATTTGTAACGGCTGTCTACGATGTCACCTATGAATGGATGATCTATACGAATCACATGTTTTACTTGTTCGTCTTGCTACGCTAACGCGCGAATTTAAAAAATAATAAATACTGGAAGTGAACCTCCAGTGAAAAAATGTCCAGGAGTTATCTCATGTTTCATGATCAAAGTTTGAAGCTTATAGAGATGATTCAGGATTGTACACGCGTCCATGGAAGAGGGTTATTATTTGTCCGGTACTTGAATACTGATGATGCTGAATAATCATATAGTGAAATGGACGATCAATCCTCATCTGGCTATCACTTGGTTCCACCGATGCCCTATCAGCAAGTATCATAGCTAAAATTCAAATAAAAACAAAAATCACAGGACACTAAAATCACAAGTCACTCACAGGTGTTTTTTTACTTGACATAAACATGACACAACATGCTCATAAACTGTCTAATAAGTTGTGTCTAGTAAAATGAAATTGCAGTCAGTAGGGAATTGCTTTAGAGAGAAAGGATTCCTCAGGTTAACCAAAGGGATGCGGAGACAACTGGCTAATTCATAAGTATCCTTTGACCGTAGCATACTGCTGTAATAGATTAGAGATTTGTAATTGGCTCTCAAGAATACTACAGGACAGATAGGTATTCCATTTTAGCTATAGGCTTGTCAATAAGGATTCCATGCACATTGAGAATACTGAAGATTAAGAAATAGAGGAAGACTCAACCTCATCTCTTAGGAGTAAACAAATCAAGAATCTATTTTTGCAAAACGGTACTCAAAAGCAACACGCAAGAGAAACTCTAATAAAACTAAATAAAGTTTAAGTCGTTCCTAATGAAGACGCAGGAACACGCAGGTAACCGTGAAAGAGATCAAGGATCTGTTTGCTGCTTGAATCTTGATGATGCTCAATGATCGCATAGTAGAAGGGACGATCGACCCTCATTGTGGTAATTGATGGCCGCCGAATATTTTTTTTTTTCACCACCATCTTCAAGCCTGGAAATGAAATAATAAATTCCTAATTCGGTCTCTTTCTTTTTCCCACCCCAGATTTAGTTATATCTGCGTCATATTGAGTTATGTTTGTTCTCTATTTCTTTTCATGGTTTTGGATTAGTCCTCGTTCTGTCAAGCCCTCTACAATTTCCCTAGAGGTTCAGGATCCTGGCCGTGAATAGTACAATATTGCGCTGTTTGATCGTCGCCAAGAATGGACGGTCTACCCGGAATTCGAGCGGCTTTGGGGGCGACCAGTTCAATGACAACGGCCTCATCATCAAACCTGCCAGAATCAATTAACGACCATTAGTTCGAAAGATTAATGCGAATCATATTGGAGGAGTATCGAACGCCGCTCTTATCTTTTGTCATGATTCATTTTACACTTCTACTATTTCCTTACTTATCTTCCTTGGCTGAGATAACGCAGAAAGAAAATTAAGAGAAATGGCGACGTGGGCATAACCAGACTTGGTAGTACAACAAGAGTAGCATGGTTCGACTTGACGGAAATGAATAATGAAATGATATATTCTTTAATAAAATGTGGAAAAGCAAAAGAATGAAATAAAAATAAAAATAAATATAAGGTAGTTCACCTTTTGGATTTCTAAAAAAGTGCCCTTTTCAGAAAGTCCACAAGCGTTACCATTCCGATAAACGTATTCCGACTCATTCTACAAGGGTGGCGTACACGTGCAAGCTCATTAGTAGTAAGCAAAAAAGCGAAAGAAAAAAGCTACAGAGATTTTGCATACTGAATTTTAAAACTGCACTGCCATTGATACTTCTTCCCATAAGTAAAGAGAAATAGAATACAGAAAAGAAAAAAAAAAGCAAAGAAAATTCCATTGAAGACACGAACCCTACTGGCGGATCTTCGAACATAAGTGAAGTTCATAAGATAAAGAAGAAGATGAAGAGAATAGTTTCGCCGATCAACTCAAAGGGCCATAAAAGAGGAGGAAGATGGAAGATAAATAGGTATAAGGATGAGGTATGAAAGAAAAGAATAGAAAAAAGTGACACATATATTCCAACAGAATGCCACTTACCGGTAGCTGCAGCAGCTTCACTGCCTTCTTCATTGACCTCGATGAAGGCTTTCTGGACGACGCTGCTTACCTTAAGAGGGATATCGGAAATGCCTGAGAAATTGGCGGCATCCGTGAACATGTCAGTCATGCCCACCTGAAAGATCATTTGCGGATCACGGAATGCCATTTTTATATTAATAAAAAAATCCCTATTTACGTCTATGCTCAATTTACCTTTTTCAGTAAATCATTGAGTTCCATGGTTGTCTCAATTTTGAACTTTGGTAGGTGAAGGATTACTTCCTGCTTGCGACCTAACTGTGGTAACCGACTGAAATCCACCTCATGAATATTGTTTTCAATACGCTGAAGCCCTTCAATCTCGTTAGGCATAATTATAACCATACTGAGCTCATCGCCCTGAAACGAAAAATTAAAGGTTACATGAAATTTTCGACAATAACAAAAACGTAACGAAACCAAGGACTATCCCATGCAAATATACCTTATAGGGAAGTTCAATGAACCTGGCATCAAGATTATCAAGCTGACCGTACAAATACACGGAAGTGCTTGTCATAGTCGGCACTTGCTTAACTGTATTTGAATTGATATGGAAGGGTTGGTCCTTGGTGAGCTTATTATCAAATTTAACTTTCCAGTCGCCCTTGAAGTAAACAGCATTCACCAGTACCAATCTAGTCAAATCGTTGATAGCATCTACAATTAGAGAAAGTGGAAAATTAAATAACTAACTGACAATGTAGGAATAAATATTTATCAGACAAAAATCACTCTATTAAACTAACCAGGACTGATCAGATCTTTTATACGATTATTCGTATTATTAGCACACCATGAGTTGATAGTAGCTGCAGCAGCTGCTGAATTTGAAACGTCTATTTTCTCACATTCCGAGTGGAAAGTGTTTTTAGTAATAGCCGCGTATTCGGGCTTTACCTCGAACGCCTTAGCGATAAAGATTTTATTAGCAACTCGTAAATCCACATTCTTAACAGCCTACAAATAAAACGACGTATTTAATAAATATTAAATTATAGTTTGACCAAAAAATGTCGCGCTACATCTAATTCCAATGCATACATTCAAGGTAGTGATAAGAGAATCATAGCCACTTTGACCTGTAGCATCTTCCTTAGAAAGCCTTAATGTTTGCCTCATCTGGAGAGCAGTGTTTCCACGGGCACCATAGGCCGCCATAGCCAATACGATATTGGCGCTTAATGGAGAACATATTATATTGCCAGACTTCTCCTGCACCAACCGCTAATAAATAAAAAAAGAGAATAATTCATTAATTAATTTCAAATATCGCTTCTAGATAGAAGCTGTCGCAGTGCAGTCTGACATTTTAATATTTACCTTAAAGAAGTCGCTGCTGAAAGAGTTACTGGCGTTCGCTATTACTGACAGAGGACTGTTTGAAGCCATTATTTTTCCTGCACTTGTATATGTCACCAGGACCGCGCAAAGCACTGCCAGGCAGATGGAATATGGTCCCACTGAAACACCACGAATGAAGATACTGGAAGATGAGGAATTCTTACTGCCGCCCTATCCTGCCGTTCTACCACGTATTTCATGCTAGTTTCAAACGCATGACGTCATATGTACATTTATAGACAGTACAGTCACGGTCGTTCCATTTTCATTGCCATTGCCATTTCCAAGAATAGTATACGGAACACTTTCAATGCCACTATTTCCAAATTATCCAATTGTAAGGTCAACGCGTTCATATACTGTTGTGAAACTTATGTATGTCAAGGATGGTTTAGATGAATACTCAACAAATTATATACTCAAGTATATTCGGTTATAATTGAAAAAATGAGTAATTTTATTATTACCGATAAAAACAATGTGAAGAATATAATGAAATACAATCAGACACTAATATATATTTTCAACATAAGACGGTGTTTTTGAAATGCATGATTTGTTCAGAAATGTTAACACACAGTTGTCACTGTAGAAAGCTGATGTCAATTGCGCAATTAGCAAATAACTCATACACACTGGTAACCATAAATTTGCAAATACATGACGGAGTGCAATGAAGCATTAACATTAAAAGAGCCACATCGAAGCCGGTATTTTTATAAGTGTAACATATTATCGTATGGTTTTAGACTTCGCAAGGACAACGAGATGTAGCATAGAAAGCAAGTGGTTTCAATGTCCTGGAGTTAGCGATTACCTGTTTATTCAAGAAAATAAAAAACAATTAACAAGTTTGACTTCTTAATATGGTGGGAGCCTTTTTGACGATTACATTTGTATCCAGAAGAATACACGGTCGAATCGATGTTATAATTTAATCTATGCATGCAGCCACCTTGGACATTATTCTCAATCTTTTCACACGACTATGACGTCAACAATTCAATATGAGTGAGATAAAAGATAGTTAAAGATAGATAATGATTGAAGAGGAAAAACCAATGAAAGTAATACCCAGAATATACGTCACAACACATGTTAAATGGTTACATAATGATTCTCAAGCACTAGGCAGTTATGTTTATTTCTTTTTCTTTATCCGGTTTGTTTAATTTCTCAATAAAAAATAAATCAACTCTACTCAACCCGGTGTAGGTGTGGAGGAAAAGTGTAATACGCAGCGTTAAGCGCGATAGGCCTGTTAAATCTATTGTCATGTATTTCGGATTAATACTTCCAACTAGCAAACACTCTCAACTTTGTCATAAATCACAAATTTAAAATACAGAGAGGATCTACTAGACGGACATGCCCATGCAATATCAAATTACATAAATTATGTTTTGTCTCGCATATTTGTAAAGTGGAATGTTGAGAACCAGAAGTACTCAAAAGAATATTTCCAACTACAGATTTCTATTTTCTTAAATAGTTTTTCTATGACTATTCGATCAGTGGAAAGAATTAAATTTTGTTAAACCTTATGCAGGGTACAAGTTACACCGTAGGTACAATTTGTATCGAAGAAGAGTCATTTTCTTTGTAAATGAATGGTCTGAGTAATAAATGTTAAAAGATGTTATTTTATTTAAAAAAAATACAGGCTTTCTTTAATATTCTTTGGTGAAACAATGATATATGAAAATGTTTGTAGGAAAATTGTATTTTTTTTTGAACTTTGAAGTTAATCAGAGTTTTAAAAATACTAAGAACACAGACCATTTGTTTACGAAGAAAATGAGTACTCTTCGTTGTAATTTGAATCTACAAAGTAACTTGTATCTTGCATGAGACTTAATAAAGTATAGTTTGTAAGAAATTAGCTTTAGGCTTAGAATATAATCCATTAAATACTTAATAATATTTAGCATTACGAGAGAGCAATGTGTTTATATCATAAAACTATTTATTCTGAGGTATAATTTACGTTTTTAAGTTTTTAAGTGCAGAAAACGACCATTAATACAAATCGTTTTATACCACATTTCACTATATCCCCTTTTTTTTAAAAATTGTGTATGGCATGATACTTTAATGTTTCTTCAACATCCTTATTCCTTGTTCTATTATTGACAGTTTAAGGTTATATGTTATCCATATATACTTATTCTTGACTCTTTTTTATGGGTACATCCACAACGTGGCTATTATTTTTTTTTAAATTTAACAATGTATAAACGCTAATAAATATTTTATAAATACATATTGAATATATAAATACATTACATTTTCTACTTTTCCATAATCTTAGTGTACATCACAACGCAAATAACTTTACCTCTTTCCTCGAATCTCAAACAAAATCCTCTCTTTGAAATTTTAAATCAAAAGAATATTATACTTTATACTCAAAAACTGGCTACCAAAGATACTCAAAATTGATGGTAAAATTACAATAAAATATCGACGGTTGATAACATCGACCATGTTGATCTATAAACCTTGAAGCCATATGCCCAAACTAGAATTTCAAGCTACTCTCTAGTATTATATACAGCTTATAAAAACAAGCTTTTACAGATACATAAGAAAAATTGTCCTAAAATCCAAGAAACCCAATATTCTAAACATGAATTATATGATCGTAGTGGAATTGCCACGCATGACAATGCGTCGTGGTTATCGGTCGCGCATTCGTCACTCACATGCGTCTTTGATTTTTCTAGTGATATTTTCATTTTTGAATTTTTAGCCATAAAAAATCTTTTCTTAACAGAAGAAAAATGTAGTAATTAAAATATGAAATAAAAAATCGATTTTTGTATTGCTTTTTGGTACATAGCTCCCCTTAACCTACAAATGCAAATTACTAAGATTCTGGGTATACTTCGATTTTCCCAAGTTAATTCAAACTTCCCGCGTCCCTTAATAAACAGCGTAGGTAATATTGAATCAAAAGAGTTTATAAATGAATTACTCACTCGAAGGTTGCATGATATCTAAAGCGTGGATTCTTACAGGACTACGGCAATTGATTGAATGAAAAATAATGAAAAAATTGCCACGACAGCAGCTCTGCAAAGCACACGCGTAATATAGTCACACACTGCGATCTTGACTCGACTGGAACGGGAGGTCTATCTTACACTGTCTGGCAAGAGCGAGCTGTTGCGTGTCTCCTTAAATCGTCGTCATCATTCCCATTGGCTCTCTACTGCATGAGAAATCGTATGAATATAGAGGCCGAGAAGACTTCCACTGTTTTTCTTCTGTCTCTTTCTCTCGTCATGACCCTCGGTATGGCCTTTGGAAATCACAATTATTGCTACAGGGATATTCCCGTTTATCATCATCTTATCTGCACTTTTTTTTCAAATTTCTCGCTAACTCGTGTTATCGTTTGTTTCCACGACACTTGGAATGCTCGATTGACCATATGTAGCACAGATTATGATATAACTAGGAGGGCAAAGGGAAGTAGTCGTTTATCAAGTAAAAAGAGATGCTGGTAGTAGAGTTTCAGAACCACCTGGAGCAAGAGAGAATAATGAGACTATAGAAACAGTCGGACAACAACTGATTATAGTAACTTGTCTTATTTCCTTTTTCGCTATATAAGAGAGCAGGGGAGAGCCGAACGATTCTCTTTAACCTTTATGGAGAAAGAGAGAGAAAGACAAGGAGATGTACCGGATTTCGCTTTACTTCATGTCAATGAGAACCATTTTCTTTATCTATTTTTGACTGTTTTGTCCTATACAGTCTTTCTAGCGACGTGACGAACATTATTATTTGACATTTCCAGTTAATTTACTCTGTCAACACTTATCTGCGAAAATTAACATATATTACAACATCTGTTTTATACGAGTGGATAAACAAAGTAATAAGTGGTATGATCAGAGTTTTAAAAATATGTAATCTCAACAAGATTAATCACATTTTATTTAACCCTATAGCCTCAGTTGACATCAGATACATATACGTTATGACCTGTCACATGTGTAATTGTAACTGAAATATTATATCTGCTTTTAAGGCATATGAAACTGCTAGATAATCTTAATTAATAGAAATTATTACCTGAGACTCGATGTGACAACTGGATGACACTTGTAGACCGAATGAACTTGATAACGTTTGAAATTCTAATATTCTATACTGTCGTAAAGTCGTAAAGTC